AAATTAAAAAAAATTAGCTGGGTGTGGTAGCCCACACCTGTAGTTCCAGTACTTGGAAGGCTGAGGCGGAAGGATTGCTGGAGCCTAGCAGGTCGAGGCTGTGGTGACTGAGCAGCAGAGTGAGACTTTGACTCAAATAATAATAATAATAATAACAATAATTGTAGCAATCTTTTATTCCCAGAGCCCTGGGCTGTACCAGCTCAATGTCTTTGTATAACCGATGGAGGGGAGGGGGCAGTGCCCACTCCGGGCTTTCCAACACATTTCTGTCAGCCTTGGTCCACTTTCCTCATCATTAGGTGGTCTGGCTTGTCTGGCTGTTTCTTCTTCTGCACCAGCAATGGCTACTAGATAAGAGTGGCCAGTTGTGCAAGGCCATGCTGTGGGGGAGGTGGAGGCAAATGGGAAAAATGTACGGTTTTTAGCCGGGCTCGGTGGCTCAGCCTGTAATCCCACGTCTTTGGGAGGCTGAGGTGAGTGGATCGCCTGAGCCCGCGAGTTCAAGACCCGCCTGGGCAGCGAGACCTCATCTCTACAATAAATCAAAAATGAGCCGGGCGTGGTAGCACACGCCTGTAATTCCGGCTACTTGGAAGGCTGAGGCGGAAGGATCGCCGGAGCCCAGCAGGCGAGGCTGCGGTGGCCGGGAGCGGCCATTGCACTCCAGTCTGGGCGACAGAGTGAGACTCCGACTCAAAATAAATAAATAAATAAATGTACGGTTTTGAATCCAAGCAGTTTTTGCATTTAGTCCAATTCAGCTACAAAAGGATACAAGTTTTTAAATCTTTTCTAAATGACTTCTCATATAAACAAAATGACCTCTTTTCAACCTATAAAAGGGCCTTACTCTGTTGCTCAGGCTAGAGTGAGGTGGCATCATCATGGCCACTGCAGCCTCAACTTGCAGGGCTCAGGCAACTCTTCCACCTCAGTCTCCCAAGTAGCTGAGACTACAGGTGCATACCACCACAACCAGTTAAGTTTTTTATTTTTATTGTACAGATGAGATCTTACCAAGTTGCCCAGGCTGGTCTCAAATCCCTGGGCTCAGACAATCCTCTCGCCTCCACTTCCCAAAGTGGTAAGATTACAGGTGTGAGCCACCATTCCCAGCTAGCTTTTCTTTTAAAATTGCTATTTCTAAACCAGGCTCGGTGGCTCAGCCTGTAATCCCGCGCCTTTGGGAGGCTGAGGTGAGT